TCCACAAAAAGCAAAAAAAAAAAAAAAATATATATATATTGATAGGGGAGGATATATTCTCCTGATACTTTCTTGATAAATTGAAGCAACACAAAAGTGTCTAGTGGTATGCTGCAAGCAAATAGCACATATTATGGTACTTTGCCATACAAACCATCAAACAATATTGAAAATACTTATTACCATTCTTAGGCCCACTATAATTTATTTTATTATTTTACTGTACCATTATTACAAATTAATTATTATTGTAGGGCCTATTTATTTCTATCAAACCTCTAGGACCATGGTTCTTGAAACATCCCGTGTGTAATATTAAATGATACACAGAGGCTATAGTTAGAACTCAACTAATAACATTTTAATACTTCTCCGCCGTCAACGAGGTAGTAACTGCGCTCAACAGAGGGCGCTACATAGGATATCACATTTCTCCTTTTCTTTAAGAGATCTCTAACTTTATCCACTTTAGCTAATCTATAAAATCTAACTTTAACGCAACTATTAATATATAACTAATTTAATTAAATCGTCCATTGTTGTCGTTCTTTTATTAACTAGTTCAATAGACTTTAACGATTGGTATTTTCTGTGATTTATACTATACTGTAGTACATTGATTTTCTCTCTGCTGGATGTATTTCCTATAGTAATTGCATTAAGTATTTAACAGCTTAAATCGTAACATAGGTTTATTGATTATGTGGTTTGGAATAATTTATGAATGCATGCATTTTCTGTTCTTTAGTGGGTTATATAGCTTTTATATAGCTTTTGATAATTGATGATCTGTATTATTCCGAAAATCAGCCCTTAGCGAATTCGGTCCTGCTACACGATCTACTCGGGTAATCGATCATCCAACCCCCTGTCACAAGTGACAGGTCGGGTGACAGATTCTCAACTTACCTAAAATTTATTACCCGCTGCCGGCGGCCTGCGAAGGTTGCGTACTAGTGTATTGTAGTTAGGCCTAGGAAGGTTAGTGATCTAGTGAGCAAGAGATATTTCGTTTACAATGGTCAGGCACGGCAAACGTAATGAATAAGCCTACAATCTAGGCTACAACAATTAATACTCTCTTAACATATTCCTATATTTTCAATAAAAAGAAGTTATAATCGGGAGCGCATGTTTAGGTGTGGTATCACATGTCAAAATGTGCATTGGCAGTCCGTAACGAACAGAAGCAACTACTGAATTTCCCGCAAATATTTTTTACTGGGAATTGTTCTTCTTGTCTATACCACAGTATAATTAAAAAGAAAATACAAATTGTGTTCACACCTAAAAATCAGGAAAATTACGATGCATAACAAACAAAAATAGTAAGATTGAACTGAAGCGCCTACCCCTGGCATCCAAAGACCGAACCATTGTGTGCCAGGTGAAGCTTATTATAATAGTATTTAATGTGCATTATAACGGTTAGCGTGTTTGAATATTAATATAATATTTAAACATGTTTATTATAACGGTTAATACACATGTTTAAATGTGGTAATGTTTAGGCATGTGTATTTATAGTTATAATACAAAATGATTACCCTGCCGCAAATGGACGGTTCTAAATCGCCCAAGACTCAAGCACATGGGCTTCTCGTTCGTTCGTGACGTTGTGCACTGGCCGTGAGAGCGATTAATCGTCTGTAGATCGTATGCAACAAAGATACAGAATATCAGTTATAAAATCAATTTAGCATTTGATTTTTAATACATGACGAGTTATTCTCTGTTCCTAAATTCTAACTGTCAACTAAATATTAATCGCTCGATTCGGAGGCCCTATAAAATAGAGATTTACTACTCTCTGAGCCTAGATTTTAAATACATCAGCTGTAAGCTGTAGAATAGCCCCTGGATAGCCGGGAATGTGAGTAAACATTGCTATTGTACGCCACACGATCATAAAATAAAAAGAATTAATAGGCTAGAAAGGATCGTATTCTTATATTTATTTAGGCCAGCATAAACACCAATACAGCATGTCATTTTCAATACATTTGTGTATTGAAAATGAGTATGCTGACTTTCAATACACTATGCTGATTTTCAATACATGCGTGTATTAAAAATGACCAAAATTACCATCTTTGTGTTTTGAGACCTAATAAAATATTGATGCATCTTTCTGGCTAGTATTCTCCCGATCGCCAAGTCACGGTTTTACGTTCGCGAAATTCGTGAAAAAAAGTAAAGTAAATCCACAGACGTACAGCTACTATCTTTTTTCATTATGGTCGGATTTTGGTTTAAAACATTTTGTTTAAATAATAACATTAGATTCAGAAATTGTGTATACTTTCTGAAATTTGACCATGATTGGAGCAGTACTAGCTGAACTGTGTCCGATTTTCTCCTACTACCAAGGTCTTGTTTACTCATTGTGAAGGCCGTTTAGGCAGCATGCAGGCAATTAGCAATCAATCATCCAACCCACCAGTGACCGTTTCTTCTAAGGGGAAGAATTTCGTCATGATTGACATATACAATAATATAGTTTATAAGATATAGTCTTTCAGGTATGTAGGTCTCTGTCTATTCCTTTGTGGTCTGGTTATTGGTGTTGGTGTTTCTGTAGGTTGTGATTGGTCCATGTTTTCATGGTTTGGTTGGTGCTCCATTTCATTTATGGGTTGGTGTGCCTCTAGTAGTACTTTCTCTCTCCAGTCGTCCGTTTCATTCTGTAATCCACTGTCAGGATTTTGTATGAATGCATTTGCAAGTTTGAATTTGCCTGCATCCCGGTAAATCTGTCTGCCATCAGTGATTCCCCTAGCTGCGATTGATGAACCCTCTATGCGGTATATGACATAAAAAGCTGGTTCATAAGCAGTGGTCCATTTTTTCTTTTGGTTTGCTTCAAAAGTACATAGTCTCCTACCACAAATGTGTGTTCTCTGGTGTTCCTGTTTTCAGATTGTTGCTTAAGCTTGTCCTTGTATACTCTGTCTCTTTCCTCCATTATGGTATCCCGGGGTATTGCTGTAGTCTCTCGTGGTTCATAATCTAATTTGGTTCGGATCTGTCTGTTCACCAATGCATTATACGGGGTTATGCCTGTAGCTGGATGAGGTGTTGATCGGTATCCTGTTAACATTTCTTGAATTGCTGTGTTTGTGTTTACTCCCTGTAGATGTGCAATTTGTTCAGTCTTATTCTGGGTTTTCATGAAGCTCTCTGGTTCTCCATTTGCTCGAGCATGTTCTGGTGTTACTAAGTGGTGCGTGAAGCCTTCCACCATCGCAAATTCCTCAAATTGTTTGGAGTTAAATGGTGGTCCATTGTCTGTTTCGATTCTTCTTGGTGTTCCATGTGTAGCAAACGTTTTCTTTAGTTTGTCTCTGGTAGGTTGAAATGCTGTTGAATATGTTGTTTCAACTTCTGGGTATCTTGTTCTCTTGTCTACGGCAACAAGATTGTAGTGCCCGTTAGGGTATGGTCCTCCGAAGTCAACTGATATTACATCCCACGGTCTCTCTGTTATTGGCATTATCTTGATAGGTTCTTGATTGTGTGCTTTGGTGGTGACTCCACATTCATAGCATTGCCCTATCAATTGTTCAGTCATTGTGTTCATCAATGGAAACCAATCGCATAGAGGCTTTTTCGCATGATGCGCTCTACAAATCCAACTATTATTATTATTACTTCTCTCTTAACATTTGCTTAGTTTTTGTCATGCCTAAGTGTCCTAGGCTGTGTGCTGCCTTGATGACTTTTCGCTGGAGGGTTGCCGGTATTACTATCTTGTTTAGTTTGAAGATCAATCCTTCTGCTGTGTACAGCTCACTACGAACTGGGTAAAAGGGTGCGATGTCTGGGTTTGTAGTGTTCCCAATCACCAATGTGCTTCCTTTTCTGCAAACTCTGGAGTTGCTGGTCTGTTTTTGTCTCCTCTCTGATGCGGCCTATGACGATTGCATGTTCGTCAACTATCATTTGTTTGATGGTATGTTCTGTGTCGTCTGTACCTTTCTCCGGTACAGGGTGTCTTGGAAGGAAGTTTAGGGGATCTGCATCCTTTCCTGGCTGGTATACAAGCTCGTAGTCAACATCTTGCATGTCCATCACCCATTTTTCAATTCTCGGTGGAAGCTTCATGGTTGCTTTGTTAAACATTGGGATTAATGGCTTGTGTGCAGTAATTATTTAGAATTTAGGTGCTCCAAGTAGGTACATACTGAATCTATTCTTGGCCCATTTCACTGACAGAGTATCTTTCTCTGTTTGACTGTAGCGTTTTTCAGTGTCAGTCATCGTCCGGCTAATAAAGTGAACTGGTTGGAGTCCTGTCGAGGTTCGCTAAAAGAGTCCTGCTAACAACCCTTCATTGTAGCTGGCTTCCGTTCTCACAACAATCGGTCCACTGGGGTCGAAGTATGCCATTGTTTTATCACTTGTTATACTATCTTTCAGGATTTGGAATGCCTTGTCCTCCTTCGGGCCCCATTTGAATCTCTTGTCCTGGTGAGTCAGTTCTCTCAGTGTTGCTGTCAGCATTGTGTAGTTTGGAATGAATTTAGATAGGTATCCCACCATGCCTAAAAAACTGCGCACTGCCTCTTTTGATTCTGGTGGTTTGCTTTGCTTAACCGCTTGAACTTTCTCTGGACTGGGTTTGAGTCCGTCTTTGGTAAATTTTTACCCATAGAAGTCAAGTTCTGGAACTCCGAATTGACATTTCTCTAGGTTAAACGTCAGGTTGAAGTCTGCAGCTCTCTGCAATACCTTTTCCGGGGTCGCATTATGCTCTTCTATGGTCCTTCCTCCAAGAAGATTATCATCTCGCTGATTAAGGCATTTGGTAATATCACCAAAAATCCTGTATATTGTCTCATCAAACATGTCTTGTGATGATTTGGCTCCAAATATGAGTCGCTTTGGTCTCATATTGCCCCAAGGCGTACTGAAGGTTGCTATCTCCCTAGATTTAACTGGTGGTACCCTTGCCGCATATCAAGCTTTGAGAATACTTTACAATCACTAAATCTGTACGTAAAATCCTCTACCACGGGTGCTTGAGTGATTCTGTTCCTTTCCATGAATTTGTTTGGAACTCTTAGATCAACACTAGCCCTTATCATGTTTGGCTTAATTTCTTCTTGAGATATCTTGCGGAATCTAGGTTTTGGTTGAACAACCAAAGGTGAACACCAAGTCACTGGTTTCACTGAGGGTACTTTCTCAAAGATGTCTTCCTCAACACATTGATCAAGCCATTCCTTCAATGGTTTCTGAAGGTAGTAAGCTACTGGTCTTGGTCTTTGTGCCACTGGAACTGCTTCTGGTTTCATGCTAAACTTTGCATATATCTCTTTGTTACACTTTACATCTTTGATTAGCCCAATGCCTGTGAATACTTGTTTGTATTTGTCAACAATTCTTTCAACTTGTCTGTTTGTTTCCATGTTAGCACCAATAGAGTTAAATGCTGGCATTTCGTTGCCTATTCGAAGGTCATTCTTCTCTGCAAATAATCCATCGGGTTCTAGTCTGATTATTCCTAACTTGGTAAGTGTTTCTTTGCCAATGAGGGGTGGTGAGTTGATGTGACCTTTCAATACAATAAACTTGGTTGCTGTTCCACATGTCTTGTTTCTGATTATTGTGTTGAACTCTCCTTTAACTGTAAGTTCATTTTGTAGTGTGTTAAGTTTGGTCTTACTAGGATAGAGTGTTAGGTTGCTACTTGTTCTGTGCAAAAATGCTTTGAATTGATGTTCATCCATTATGTTGACATCTGCGCCACTGTCAGGCTCTGCTCTCATATCAACATCACCGATTCTTATGGTTACCAATTTCTTTTCTATCCCAGGTTGTCCTGTTTTCTTAGCTACCAAATGTTTAGCAGCTTCCTCAAAGAATTCGTCGCCTGAGCTAGTAGAATGATCTAGTTCTTCCGATATCATTTTCACTCGTTTTTGGTGTTTCTTTGGATTGTAGGTTTTCCTGCTATTGTAACTTTTCCCTTTAAAGTTATTGCTGTCAGTTGCTGTGGCTCCATGACGGCATACCTTGGCAAAGTGGTTAAATCTGTTGCACTTGCTGCATTTTTGCCCATATGCTGGACAGTTCCGGCCTTGCGGATGAGTGCCCACTTGTCCACAATACCCACAAGCTGATAGGTGGTATTGTCCTTTCGGTGGATTTTGGTGTGTTTTGCTATGTGTTGGAAGTTGCTTTCTGACCTTGGCCACACCTGCAACCTGCAATCGCATATCCTTGACTTGCAAGGTGGTGTCTTCTATTTGAATGGCTTCTTTCAGAAGTTGGTCAAGTCCCCATTTCTTATTGATTGCTTTACGTATCAGTGATTCATTGTTTATTGTCTGTATTAAGTGTTCTAGTATTCTTTCTTCACATGTCTCTCCAAATTCGCATTCGTTTGCTTTCTCTCCTAAACGTGCAGCATATGTAGCTGTCGTTTCGTCTTTTATCTGCCTCATTTTGAGAAACAGGTATCGTGCATGATGCTTGTTCTGCTTTGGCTTAAAGTAATCAGTCAATTTCGTGCGTAATTTCTTATAACTATCAAAATCTCCCGCTGGATTAGGTAAACTTTTCTCTAGCCGTGCTAGATCTTTACCCCCGTAGATTATCATGGCATCTTTCTTATCTTCTTTCTGAGTGATTCTAAAATATCTAAATTCTCTTTCTAGCCCTTCTAGCCATTCTTCCCATGTTTTACCAGTGTGGATTTGGTCCTCGCCGGGAGTAAATGGTTGGATTCTTAGGTTTCTTGTTTCAATTACTACCGTAGGCTGCTGAGCCATCTTCTATGTCACATATGTGTGACGATACGTGCGGACAGTACTCACGTTTGCTGCTGGATAGTTTTGCTATACTCTAGGCCTGGCTATATTGTATAGTAATATAGCTTGCTTCTGCTTTATGATCGTAACTGCTTTGTTACTCACATCAACGCCTGGTTTCTTGACATCCTCGTCGCCAATGCTTATCAAAATCACCTTTGTAAAAATCAGTAATAAAGTGAAGTTCATCAGATATAGATATACCATTAGCAGCTTTGAGTAGGAGCTGTTCACAATTAGAGTATAATTACTGTGAACGCATACTCTGGATTAGCTTTACCACTTTCGTACTTTCAATAAAGTGTTAACAGTATTATCAGCAAGATCTTGACCTTCACTAGCTGAAAGAGAGGAATTCTGTAAGGATTTGCTTAATATGTCACAATACCGAAATATCTTTTCAGCTAATGTTAAACCAAAAAAAAAATTCAAACTTTTGTATATATGATTGAACACCAAGTATTCTAGCACACATGTCAGAATCAGTTACATTCTCCAGAGACCATTCCCAAGGTTCGTGTAAATTATCATAATTTTTTAAGATACTTAACATTGCATCAGCTTTGACAGTCCATCTAGTCTGACAAAACAAACGGATATTTGGCGTGTTCATATCAATGACACCCTCAGTCATTGATTGCCTAATTTTTCCAAACTGGGTTCCTCTTTTTGGTGATGTTCTAATTAATTTTGTAATTTCATAAGCTGTATTCATAACATACTTTAATACCGAACAATGCTTTATGTTGTAACAACACGCTAGATTAAGAGAGTGTCCATAACAATGTGTGTAAATGGCTCGAGGTTCAGTATCCTTTATCTGTTTGGCAACACCAGACCTGTTGCCTGACATTTTTGAACAGCCATCATAATACTGGCCTCGACATTTTGATAAAGGGATATTTAAACGCAGAAGAACATCCTTTATGATAGAGACTAACTCATCAGCATTGATTTGATTTGCAAAATAAAGTCCTATAAAATCTTCATGCGACAAGAAAGATGAATCAATCCATCTTATACAAAATACTACTTGTTCTCTATTAGAAATATCTTTAGTGTCATCAATTAAAATGCTATAATACATAGATTCAAGAATAAAAGGTACAAGTTCTCTTAATATAATATTATGCATCGTTTTCAAAATTTCATTTTGTATAATTGGACTTGTATACTTGTTTTTTTTATCTTGCCAAACTAGCATTTCAGGGTAGTCTTCAGCACGTAATCTGTATAGCTGTTGAAAGTTAAAGTCAGATTCTTCTCCAGTATCTCCACGAAATGCAAGGCCTTGTCGTGCCAGAAACCTCGTATTTGATAATATTTTAAGTAACATCTTCTGATTGTGTAATTTGTTGGTTATGTGCACTATTGACAAAAGTTCAGCAACATCTTTCGTTGTTTTTGGTAACTTAATTAGCCTCTGAACTGCCTCTTGGTGACAGCGTGATTGTTCATGTTTTTGGGAACCCCTTCTGTGAACTTGTAGCATTTTTCAAGTTTCTGTAGCCTGTGCTAATGAATGCTTTATCAGCATTTTGCGAAGCAAGTTTATGGTGTTCCTTTACTTCCTTAACACACACATGGCAGAATACTGCATCATTCACATTATCATAATGTAACCATTGCCATTTTTGAAACCATTTTGCCACGAAACTGCGTGAAAGATTTCCTATTCGAAGACTGGGAAATGTAATATTAACTGGCTGATTTGGAGTCTCTCCAATTTCTGGTAAACATGGACTTTCACCAGATG